CACTTCAGTAGATCTCAATCAAAACATATCCCAGGACGCTTGATCCGACAGTTGGATCCCGTCGGGTCCTATCGGAAAAACCATCGGACTATGTCGGATACGATAGGAATTCGTTGAAAGTTGTCCGATGACGGAAAGTGTCGGAATACCAGAATTCCGACAGGAATCACGGTTACTCCGACACTTTCCGTCATCCGACAACTTCCTGTCGGAATCTGATACCAAAGATTCTGCCGGAATTCATGGGATCCTATAGGATCCTATTGGCCAGTTTCCCCCTGGAATCTGACAGATCCATGAAATAGCTCAAGTAAGTCAATAGAGGACTTGATCGAGCAAAGTAAAAATAAATAAATGTAGTTAAACATATGACAATCATTTTTCATCAAGCCATTTGCTTAAAAATCGACTAGCCATTCTGTACAAAACGATTCATTTTATCAGACACCTGGCTACACCATTTGTCTCATTATACAATTGATTTAAAAATTTTGAATAAATATGCTTGCAGATGTTATACACTTGAATATCGATATGATGAAGTTGTACTGATTTATTTTTGCAAAGTTAAGTTTTTACGTGGCTATTTAAAGATTTGCATATTTTTATTAGTTACGAACTAGACAATATAGAAACATAGATAAACTACATAGAAACGTTTGCTCTAGTCATGATAAAGACAACGAAGAATGAAACGTTAATTTAAAAGATTACCCACAGTTGTTGCTGCAGTACCCATCTGTGGTACAGTAAGAGTTTGCATTTGTGGTGCAACTCTTCTATTGTTCTTCTTACATGTTAGCATGCTAAAACATTCACCTCAAAATTCATCATATGTGATCATATACAATGGAAAAGATAATGCATAGTAGGAGTAAACAAGACAATCAAATGGCCACAAAAGTGTGTTGCTTGACGAGGAAAAAGAATGCAAAAGCTACATTTGATGGTACAGTCATAAACAAGAAGATAAATGTTGTAATAACTAGTGTAGTTGAAATAGATCAATGTTGACTCATTGTAGCACGTCTTAAACGAATCAAGGGATAAATCACACTACTTGAATGTACCCATTAATACAGATGGTATACAATTATATACGATAAAATTTACATTACCTCAAAGCGGATTGACACTATTCAACCAAAAATAAACAGTAATTGTACCATTGGCTTTATAGTAACAAACGAAAAGAAAAAAAATTAAAATTAAACAGAGCAAGAATGCATATAATGCATGCAATTATAATAAGAACACTTCGGTTGGCCGAGCCATATCCGATGAAGACGCTCAATGATAAATGTCGATGCAAACATGCAAAAACGCGATGTCAAGCTGTCGATTTTGGCACGAAATAGCTGAGAAAAGAAATAGTTTTGTAGGATACTAACGAATATGTTACTATATGGAATTTGTAGGTATTTTTGAGATAATGATCAAGATTCCATCCATATAACATGAGAATATTAAAGACAGCCATAGCACGCATATAATGTAGCGTTGGTCTTGCTAGCGGATTTCTCAACATTGACCGACAAAGAACAATCAACGTTCAACTATTGAATGAAGTATCCAAAATAATTAAAGTTAACGAATAGTAGCCAACAATCAAAGTGTCTCTTGATCGATCAATTTTCGTTGTCGCTGTTGTATTACCAGTTGGCATTGTATAGTTTACTGTTAATTTTTCAAATTTGTTTCCTTAAAGCAACGAATAGTTCTATAAAGAACTGAATGTCTTATAGAAAAAAAATAGACAAAATCTGATATTTTTCGCTGGGAAAACTGAAGTGTTACACTTCACTCCCGTCTCTGCTTCGGATGATTAATATTTTCACGAATGGCAGTATATAATAGTTTTACAAAAGACTTTTCTCCTACGAATAACCTCTCTGATATCATAATGAAGAGCATAATTGGTATAGTACTGGTCTGTTGATATGTTCTTTATCATGTTGTTAAGAAATAAGAAAAAAAAGGCAAGATAGAATGAAGAATGCTCTGTCAAATCCATAGTTAACAAAATTGTGTTCGATATATTCATACAAAAAATTAATTTCGTCAATCTATTTTTTAGTCAGTTGAGTCGTTCCGCTAGCTGTGGACTATGTAAGTTAATTATGACAGCTTCCTTGTGTTTTCTGACCTATGTATATGCTCTTTTTCTCTATCAGCTTAACATTTATTGTGCTTTGTCTGTCATTCAATGACTTATTATGAATGATAGATGGCAAGAAAGACGTAAGAGATGAAGAATTTAATTAGCAACATTATAATCTTAAAGCTCTAATTCTTCAGTTTGTACTTTTCGAAACCGAAGCTGATTACGTTAAATTTAGCCATTTGAATTATCTATCATCGTTCTAAATTATCGCATTTATATTTTAATCTTAAAATCCTTCAATAAATAAGAATCTTTATTTAATGGCGCATTTTTTGACATCCAGAAAACCTATATTTTCTCTATTTAAATAATGGCGTAGGCGAAAAAGATACTAATATATTTTGCATGAATTAAAATTTGGTTTTCAGAATACGAGCGTATCGATAAAGAAAAAACGAAGCTCAAATTCAATTTTATCGTACCAATAATCAAAAGAACCTTTAGTGAATAATTTAAATATCATCGAACAAGTTTTCATCTGTAGCTATAACTTGTGATGTTTTTATCCTTTCCTACTCTAAGCTCTTCATTTAAATGAAGATAATTCTACCTTTTGTGATGTAATAAAACTAGTTTTGTTGACAAAAGTAGGTTTTATTCTGAGCTTCTTTTCTTAATCTGTTTGAAATTATTTTGAAAACATGTCCTTTGCGTCGTATTATCTGTTTTTTTTAAAGAAAATATTTCGTATCTAAGCAGAAAAAACGCTTTCTAATTGTTTTCTAATCAAACTATTTGCGCGTTACCAATAAGTTATTTCAAAAGCAATCATTGCTTCAAGGGTTTTGTGTGGTACCGGTTGTGTATGAGCATGTCATTGAAGAATGGGCCAACATTCGAAACCTAAAGCTAACTTTTCGGTCGCCCTCCAACGGAATTTTTAATGATTTGTTTTTGCGAAATTTTTCAATTAGGATTCCTAGTGTCAGAGCCCGACGAGCGTGGGGAGATCGTATTGATATTACGTCGATATCATTTTTTTGTATAGATAAACACAAACTCAATTTTGATAGCCAATGTTCTTTCCAAAATTTCAAAAGAAAAATATTGTTGTTTCCTAAATTTTCTAATGTTATTGAAAGTCAGCTTATTTCGTTTACATTGCAAGAAACGTTTAAAAGAACATTTCGAAATAACTAAAACGAAATTCATTTCAACATTTTATTCCTTTCATGGTACATCTACGTCCAGTGTTCTTGTGATGAGATGATAGACTCTAATTTATTCCTGATTAGATTCATTGAACTGAAACGAGTATCATCTGACGATCTTTTGTTTATCGATATGAAATATTAACATTACAGATGCTCCTCAGACATGCCTAAAATTATTTTACTTCTTTACAATGATTTTCACTTCGATCACAAGTTTTTGTTTACTATTATTTAATTAACATTTTGTTTTCATTTCTTATGCTTAAAAAAATCGTAATATAAAGCCCCGTTGAGTGTTTATGTATCAATAACTAACATGAATTGCGTTGTTAAAATTATTTCCACCCGATCTTTTGAAACTTGTCAGAGAAATTTGATACTTCAAATCTATACCTAGTTCCTACTAAAAATGCTCGCTCTGCTATTGATTTGAAATGAATATTAGTAATTAGTAGAGAATAAAAGAAAACAAAATACATCTCCATGTTCTATAATACATTTCTTTCGCTTGTTCTTTCTTCAAAAAGAAAACATTAAACACAAAAAGAAAATGTGCAAATTGAAACAACGAAAACAACTCATTACTTCTCAAACATTACTATTCGTCCATAGAATACTTACAACAGAATTAATATTCACGATTCGATCGAGTGAGTATTTAAAATTTGAGTTCATACTATTCACAACTGCATTAACTATCTGATATATTTTAAAATGTCTCAAAACATTGTCGTAGAGTCACGTAAAGAATCTTGTTTTAAGTTCAATGAAAGGGCATAGAAGTCAAAATAGACTATTCTTAGCGACAGAAAAGAATAAAAAATTCGAATAATAAACAAATAATAAAAATTATTTTTCCTTTTCATGCTACCATCTTGTAAGATCTTACAAGTATCAAAATAGATTGGCAACAATCTGACTTGAGTAATATTTAGGTTATGATGAAATATTTTTTAGCTTCCAAATTTTCGATTTTTATAAAATCTCACACTGAATCGTCTTACATAGATTCTTCATGAGATCCTGCTTATGTTTTATTTGACTTTGTAATTTTATGGCAAATAGTTACTAGTATAATCATATCGTATAGGGTTGCTTTTAAGCACAAGTGTTTGAATACATAAATGTTAGTAGTCTTTTCGCATGCGAGCAGAATGAAGACAAACTAAACGCATAGCCCCTGTTTTCGGATTTTTTTATTGGCATCGCAAATTAGAAGCTATTTAGTAAGTTGTTTTTATCAATAATCAGCAAGCATAATATTGATAGAATATGCAAAGTGATTATCTTCTTGGTAGTAATTTGGCTGTACAGAGATGTTGAATATGCTCTTTTAAACGGCGCATATACCTTGGAATTTTCAAAACTATACCGAAATTAGAATTAATCTCACTTGCGGGGGGGGGGGGGGGGGGGGGGGGGGGGGGGGGGGGGGGGGGGGGGGGGGGGGGGGGGGGGGG